GTCCTATTTTTGGTCATCTGCAAAGTTTTCTAGGGTAGCAGTACCGATTTGATGTTTGCATCAAAAAACGTCACATCTATGTTTTTATAAGCTGCTAAAGTTGTGACTGATAACTTAGTTATATTGTACTTGCAGCAATTCTTTAGGAAACAGTTCAACTTATGTTGTGATAGTCTTATGCGTTTTTTACTTACCGGTTTCTTACTTTTATCTAAGTTGGTCAGTGATGAAATGTTTGGTGTGCTTTGTTTATAAGTTTATTAGCAATAATTACCATTCTTCGAGCAAGAACTCCTTTTTCTGCAAAAGATTTCAATAGAGTAGTTACGTTATTTTTCGCTTTTGCTTCTTACACCTTATCTGTATTGGCTTTTTAGCACAGTTTTATTTGATGAGTCATAGGAAGGCCTATTCTCGATCTGGTGTCTTTGCTTGGAGTGGCCTTGGGGTAACCGAACATGGACTTGTAGTCGCTGAAGCAGCACAACAGATTGATTTGTATCGTGATTCTTTAACATCATTTTTTGATTTCGTATCAACAAGTGATATTATTCAGTCTGTTTCGAGTCAGCCGCTGAAACCGACTCGAAGCGTTACAGCGGAATTCAAGCAAGCATTTTTGTGAAATTTTTTTGACAGAGTGTGAAGCCTACTTTTTATTTTTGCATATACGTGTCGTTGTATTCAGAAATGGCTTTCATTGTGGCGATGCATCCTTTAAACAAAACGGGCTATATTATTTGTAGGTTTAATGATTTGGCATGGGCGCCGTTTGTTACGGAAACTCATCCTGGTGGTCTCATCATAGGATGCGGCGAAAGTGGTCACACATCTGTCTTTGATGCTTCTTCATTACAAGGTAATTTTTCACTTGCTAATTCACACAAAAAATTTCTTCATCTTTCTTCTGATTGCAGATCTGTTTGCGACAGTAAATTTTTTCTTGAAAACTTATCACAACAATATTATATCTTTGTTACGTAAGGTTTCCACGGTTTAATTTCTAAGAGTTCTCAACTATCAGAAAAGATCACTTTAAAAGCACCCCTAGCATCGCATATTGTTTCTTAACTTTCTAAGGGAAAACGATGACTTCTGAAAGTGGAAGACTAGGCAATTAGACGTCTTTTGCAATATCGGTAGAATAAAAGATGGCTGTTCTCTATAATTTTTCACAATTTCTAAAATTCTCTTCTAGCTAAGTTTTAGTATTTTGTACTTTTGATTATAAGAGCATTTGGTGTTTTAAATGCTGAATTAACAGAGGTTGTCATCTGTTAGTATATTCAGGTTTAAAATTTTCCACTTTTAACAAAAGGTCTGTTATCTGGTAGTAGTGTGTCGAAAAAACGTGTGATATAGATCTTGTCAATTAACTGACTTTTGGCTTAACTTATTGTTTTTTTCATTTTATATTACTTTTAGTGTAATGATTTAAAATACTTTATAGTGCCTTATATTTATTTGGCGAAGCAGAAATTTATTGGAACTTTCAGGTGGTAGTTTGCAATGTTTGGGTGCTCGTTCATACCATCAAGGTCATGTTCTGTCTGTAAATGTTAACACTCTGAATCCGAAGTGGGTTTGCACTGGCGGTGCAATGGGATCTGTGTTACTTTGGGATCTCAATAATCCTTTGGATGCCGTAACCCCAGGAAAATCAAATTTTGAGCATCAAATTGTAAAAAACTTTTTTGAAAGTGGAATACCATTATTTACTTATCTTTCCTCATATTGTTTTAGAGGTGCGTTGGATGGAATCAGTGTTCTGAATACATATTGGGTAGTTTAACTAGCGAACGCTGTTCTATTTGGGACCTTCGTTCGCCTGGTGCTCCAACGCTTGATATCGCTGACATTGGTAAATAAAAAATCACGTGTTTTAAGTTATTCTTTGGTGCACTCGTAACGTACAAGGTTTTAAAGTAATTGCGTAATGGATTTAAATAATATGTTATTTGAATTTTTTGAGTGTGCTAATGTGCTTATTGCTAACATTCTTTAGGTGGAGGAGTGGAATGGAGTACCATGAGGTGGAGTCCGAATAGCGGTACAGAACTTTGTGTTACATCTCAGAACGATCAACTTCCTATGTTTTATAAGTGGGATTTGCGTTATGCCGCTTCTGCTGTCTTAAATTACCAGTTACATAAAAAGTGTGGTTCTTCGCCTTTTTTCCTTTATGAATAATTTTTTAAAATCTTTATTATTTTCCTTATTTCTATTATTCCTTCTGAAATTTCCATTCTTCGTTGCTATTACGGCTTTCTAGAGGAATAATGGCTATGGATTGGTGTTCGAAAGATCCAGATATAGTTGTAACGGTTGGAAAGGATGAACAAATAATTTTTCAGAATCCAAATACTGGACAGTTAGTAGGGGTAATGAAAACTAATGGTTGGTCTTTTGTTATGGAACTGTGATTTTGTTAGAACTAGCTGAAACTTGATGTTGTTCTTATAGGATGGGCGAGGAAGCTCTCTTGGTGTAACACGAATCCGAATATTTTTGCTGTTTCTTTCTATGACCAGCCAGTCGGTATCTATTCACTAGCTTCCTTCGGCCCTGCATCGCAAGGAAATGAAGTATTTGTTTTTGGAATTCTTTTTCTCACAAGTCCTCCAGACTAATCATACCATTTTCACTGTTCAAGATTTTTGAAAAATTTTCGCACATAAGCTATTTTTAACAAAATATTTTTACTAGGTTGTGGAAAATGTTGGTTTCGAGCTAAGCGTTATTCCAGCATGGGTGCACCGTGGTACATGCGGCACCAGCTTTGCTTTAGGGAACAAGTTCTGTTCTTTTACCAAAGAGTATAATTCTTCGGTCTCTTCCTTCTGTTCGATAGTTTCAGTCGGAAAGGTATTTCTATAATTCTGTTAATGGTCTTTAACAAGCTGAGTTGTTTGAATTTTCTATTGCTTATTTAATGTCGCGCATTACATATACCATTGAAATTAATTAGTATTGTTTGAGTAATAAAAGGTTATTTCTGGTTGATTTTTTAGAGTTCAAGAGTGCACCTATTGAATATGTTTAGGTTGAAGGTAATAAACCTCTTCATGATTGGGCATCGAAACTATTGAATGCTCTTAAAACAAATCAGTTAGCAGCTTACTGTACAGAATACGTGGAATTGCTTGCTGCAGAACCGGATTCAAGTCGAAAACTTCTGTGGTCATTCCTGTCAAACAGCGTCTTGAACTCTTCTCGAAATGCATACATTTCTTTGTTAGGTACATTTGAAATTGAACTAATTTATCTTGGCAACGAAAGTTTCATGTAATCATTTGTCTCAACGAAGGTGCTGTGCAAAGTGTGGTTTGAAAACATTAAATACTGGAAATGAGCAGACCAGTGAACACGGTCAATTTAGTAGAGTTTTTTTTCTAGAAGTGGTCATACAGTCATTTATTAGGAATTTAAAATGTCAGAGTTATATATTCCAAAAGATAATTATCCACGTGAGCAGGAAATATAACAACAGGTTTTAGTACATTTATGATGTTTCACTAGTTGCAATTTCTTTTTTTGTGGAGGCAGAATTTTATGAAATTGTGCTTTTCAAAATTTCTGTAAACAGGCTTTGCGATGGGTCTTATCAGCGAGGTTTTTTCATTGACCGTTTTTAAAACTAGATATAAACAGTTTTTTGCAGTTTTGCAAGCTTTTCTCCTCTAGCAGTTTTTTCCAACCTTTGCTAGTTTTGTACAGTCGGATTTATGTTTAAGTTAATGACTATTGGAAATTAGCTGAACATCTTTAACGGAATTAATTAAGAAACTGTGCGTTTGAAATCTAGTACCAATTCAAACACGCTTTGAAACTTTTACACTACCGCCAGTGGTTTTTTTTTTGATATTTTCAGTTTTAGTTCTGTTAAGAATTGTGTCTTTGTTTATCTTTTCACTGAGAAAGCTATTTTGTTTCTACCGTTTGATTTTCATTTTAGATCGTCTTCCACTTTCTGCAAAAGGGGACGAGAAAGATTCTGTTGAGAAACTTTTGGCACAACTAAACGCTTGGTGTTTGAAACACGAAAACGAGTCTGAAGCTGAGGGAAGTGATGCAGTTAACTCTTTTCAAGTGCTGTTTGATGGCTCACAACAGCAAACGGAGTTACCGGTTTTCTCTAGTCCGCTTAGTGTAGACGGTAGGTCATCACTTAATGATCGTTTTGCATAACGAAGGGTTTTTGAAGGAATATTGCTTTTGTGTTCAGCATACTCTCATATGATAGTGTTTTTAATGGACACTTGTTTATCAAGCACTTTGTGTTTACCACCTAGCAGTTTTTAAACGGTTTTTTTAGCGCGCAGTATTACCTGGATAATCAAGTCACAATTTCTTTTAATTTACAGGAAATCCCAAGATTCTCGAACTAATTTCCGCGGACACTTGTACCGAAGTAGCTGCCAAAGCTTTATTGGAAAAGGATTACTTATTTGCTCTGTTGGCTGCATGCGCGGCAGATGATAAGAGGATGATGAAGTTTGTTGGACGAACTATTGCTTTTGGTACTTTTTTTTCCCAAATATCGGTTGTGGAGGCAATGATGGTGTCTATCGGTGGTTTACCCACCAATGTCGTGAAATTTAACACAAACTTCAAATGGCCCATTTTCTACCTTAAAGTACATTTTTGTGAGCGCGCAAGTTTATGCTACTTCTTTAGCAACTTTTTAGATGCTGCATCTTTGAGAATTGATTCTTTCTTTTTGGACATTTCTTCTCTGGTACTTATTAGTTTTTTGCTACCTTAGATCGGAAACAATTCTCAAAAATTGTTCATTTATTGATGTAGTTGTCGATAAGTATGATGATTCTTTTTTCACTTTTGAATTGTTATCCCACTTACGTTTCTGCACTGCTTCCGTTGAACACTTTCCTGCACTTGTTTTAAATTAAAACTGTAAATTCTAAAGATGCTGTGGTTAAGGAATGAATTAAGTGGAAAATTTGCAGTAGACCAAACAGAAGGCTTAGTTTTGATTTTGAATGTCGTTCAATTAGCAAAGAAAAATCCTTTTGAGCCGAGGATATTAAGTAGCAGTTAGTACTGTAAGAAATAATTGCCATGAGAAAGGGTTTTTAAACTATTACTTGGGTGTTCAACGCGGAATCTAAGAGGGCAGTTTCAAAATGAAGTCTCTATCACAGTGAGACCTCAGAAAGTTATTTTGATTGGTGAGTTATTTTTACTGAATTAAATTATGGATATCTCGTCACTTCATTATGAGTATTTATGAGTATTATAAGTGATCCAGGAAATTTTGCATGAAACCTTTAGATTCATCTTTTGATTCTGCAACGCGCGTCGCTGCGTTAATGTCTGCAGGGATGTGGAACGAGCTTATTCATTCCTGGGATGTTAAAGATTGGAGTTCAGTTTTCAGGCTAATAATTGCTCAGGTATATAATTTTCAACTTGAAGTTTGTTATTAGTAAACAAGTTACTGCATTTGTAACTTTCAGCTTCTGTGGTTGATTGCTTAACTGTTAGTTTCTATTTACCTTCAATGAGCGGCATTTTTCAAACTTATCATCTTAGGCACCAGCAAAATATATTGCGTCTCTTTGTCGGCAGCTCGGTCTTAAAATGCATTCGCAAGCATTAGGTTTGTATGCTGCTTTACCTGCAGTTGTTAGCGGTGACGTTGAAACCTTACTGATTGCGACAGAATCACTTCCTGTTCAAGAAAAATTATCTTTGGCTAACATTTTAAGACAGTCTATTGGTAAGCGTTTTACTATAAGTAGATTTTAATTTGAATACTTTTCTAAATGGGGAAATTACTTTATCGCTTTTACCAAGATTTATTGTTTTAAGTACAATGATTGTAGCAGTTCGTCCTCATTAAGTGAATGTGATAATCTTTTCGTAATTTGCATTTGTAGCGCTAACAACAACGGAAATAGTTTGATAGATGAAGCAGTGAGTCTCACTGCAGTTACTATTACTCGGCTGTTGGGCCTTCTGTCTTACTAAAGAGGAAGAGTGAAGTATGAGGTCTAAAGATTGACAATCACTGACAACAAATGGAAAAAATTTTAAGTGAGATGTGAGGTGCACCCTAAACACTGTTCTGTTCTGTATTTTTTCCTTATTTCAATTACATAGTAATTTTTCATATGTAAAAACAGGCAATTTAGGGGAAAATCTGATTTTAAATAAAGTAACTGAACTTAAAATAGTTCATTTTTATAATGCGTGTATCAGTAAAATAAAATATCAAGTGCCTTGGTATGAGTGGTGCCACAGGCTACATAGTCGACTCCTTTCACTTCTTTTTACTCCAAAGTAAAATTCTCTCTATTTTCTCTTCAAAGAGCGGCGAACGCGTTTCATATTGTCAAATTTTTACAGTTTCTTCTGAATGACTTCTAATCCTTTGCTAATTTTGCTATAAGTTTTAAAAAAAGTGTAGGTATTTGTCATAGATTGTTTTTAGGAGGTGGTAGTTTGCGAGTTGCATCTGTGGGACCTAAGTACGTCTCGGTACTAGGTGAGTGCGTCAGAGAATTGGCAAAAGAAGGTTTCTTGGAAGAAGCCTGGCAACTATTAGATCCTATAGAAGCACAGGACTTGGTAAGTGAGGACACGCTAATATTGATATTTTCAATTCGCAAGTAAACGCTCCATTTTTCTATAATTCGGTTCTATTAAAAACGCCATTTTTTAGTTCAGGGTTTCATTGTGTGCAGTGCATTTCTTGTAAGAGGAGTGCAAAATAAAATTCGGATTATAGTTTATTTGTGTGAGTCGAAAAAAGCCGCCAGTTCCGAGTAATTCGATTTATTTTCATCTTATGTTTTATAATGAATTATTGATATTGTACATGGACAAGTCTCATTAGTGGCGAAGATAATTTTTTTCCTTATGTGAAGTGAGGTCTCCAATTATTGCGTTGTAAAAAAAGGATGTAAATTAGACTTCTTTTTAAGTCATGAGGTTCCATGTTTATCCTTCTGGGTTTTTTCATCATTCTTTACGAAGGTATTTTAAAAGTTCAGAAGCATTACTTCTTGTCAAGGATGAAAATTTCCTCTTTTTTTTTTGTTGTTCTTGTTGTTGTTGTTGTTGTTGTTGTTGTTGTTGTTGTTGTGTTCATTAAGGTCTTTTGGTTTTTAGGGCCTACGGGAGCTGAAATTTTCGCTTTACGAGGCACTTGGGAAACCACCCAGTTCTGCAGTACCTGAAGATCCTTTCTCGGAAGATAGGAGTATTTATGCTCAGTTGAATTCTTTCGGACCTAAAGTGTTGGGAGGACGCGGGCAACTGGATCAGAAAAAAACTGTGCAGTATAACGCCCACTCGGTCAGTTTATCAAAAATGTTTTGATTTTTTCGTTGGGGGGAACGAAGTTTACTTTTAGGAAAGTACTTGATATATGATGTAATGGCACAGCTGTAGTTTTTAAGCTTCAGGGATCGGGAATGGTATATCAGCGTTATCCTGCTCCTCCTAATGTTTATAACCAAAACCAGCCTTCTGTTCCTCCCCTTTCGTCTGCTTCCGCTTATTCCCAATATCGACCAGCAGGTTATCCTTCACTAGCATATGGCAGTGCGACTCCCGCTTCTTATGGTCAGTTCTCACAACCTATGCAAACTCCACCGTCATCATCGCAGAGTCAGAATATTTATTCTACTGCCGCTTCGATTGCGTCTCCTCCCACAATGATGGCATCGGGCGATGTATATTCTGGATATCTGGGGAGAAGTCGTACAGTCCCTTCAAGTTCATAT